GGCGTGCTTTATTCTGCTAGAAACCCTCCTGAGTTTAAAAAAATGCTTTTGCATTTTTTATTTTTTATTTCATGCTTACTTTTGTTCTAAAATAAGATTAGAAAATAGTCTTCTTCTTTTTTTGTAATTTGATTTAATCTAGAATAATTATAGTATTCAAGCATCAGCAAGGCAGTTACATTTGGTTAATCATCATAATCATCATTATGTGGAAGATCCCTTGTGGAATGTTGCTCTCATCAAGAGAACAAGCGTACATTTACATTTGACCAACTAGATAGGCCTATAAAAGGTCAGTTGCCATCCAAAATTTGTCAACAAGCAGATTAAAAATGTAACAACTTGTTACATTTAAGTTGGACAGACACCAGACCTCTGTGCTTCTCCTGCCCCATACATTCAGGAAACAACTACATTACACATTTTAATAAGCAAATACAATTAGGGTTGGGACTTCAGCTTTTCAAGTGATGTAAAGTTTGCGTGGTAATGTTAGTTTGTTTGCTTTGTATATGGGAAATAGAATGAAGCATGACCAGTAGAAGATAGTTGTTGAGATCAAGGTATTGTGGAGGAATATGATCAGTTACTTCAACACCAGTGTTGGGTCTTAATTAACTTGATAATAATGATGATGTTTTGTTGGCTTAACTCTTCTGTTACCAAGCTGTGCAGGCACACATTGGATACTCCACAAACCAAATACTAATGTTAACTGTTCATGCTCATGAAGTTATAACTTTTTTGCTTTGTTAGTTTGTTAGTAAATAGAGTTTAAGTGATACATCCTCATAATTGTCATCAATCAGCATGTCCTTTACAGAAGGTTGCTCTCTTCAGGGCACACCTAAAGGTCTTTCTTTCTCTAGCCAATTCTCCAGCCTTGTGTGCTTTCACAGTCAGTGCATCTTCACTGTCCTGTATCCACATTTGTGGAGGTTGACCTCTGCCTCATTTTCAAGAAACTGGGCCCTCCATCACCTTTCTCTCCAGACCACCATGGGGCTTGACATGTCCAAAATACTTCCTCTTTTGGGAGAGGATGCTGTTTATGAGCCAGTTCTCTACAATGCTCAGGTCATGCAGGATGTCAACTTTTTTTTAAAAAAATGATACATTCAGAGATAAAAAAGAGAGCATTTGTAATAACCTTCTTAGTCTGGTATTAACTTGCTGGGATGATAATTGCTTGAAGAAGCAGTAGCTGTCAGGAACAAGATAAGTTAATACTAGAATATGTCTTTGCCTTTTTCTTTGAGAAATGTGCATGTAATTTTAAAGCTGCAGAAGCATAGTGGCAAAACATTTGCCTGCTGACCTGGAGGTCTTCGGTTCAGATCCACACTGAGGTGGATTTCCCCCCCCCCCCCCCCCCCCCCCCCCCTTTTTTTTTTCAAATATTGATATTGGCTCCCAGGTCAGCTTAGCCCAAAATAAGTACTATGTAATGTCTTGAGAAGTTAAGATGGCTGGTATGATGTTTACCACATCATCCACTCAGTTTTGATTTGTCTGTACAAATATGAGTTTGGCATCATTGTCCTGATGCACCACTGGCACAAAGAGGGTCCTTGACTTTACTTACGAGCATTCTTGTACTGTTTGTTATCACATTCCAACATATCATATTTTCTATAACTGTAGGATAACATAGACTCATTATTTAACTCTTTTTTTAGGCATATGTTTTTTCTTGGTTACTGTAGACATTATCAACTTTTGTTTTTGTTTAGCTGTTTGCTGTCCCATTAATTTGCAATGCTTTCATGTTAGTCTCACGTTAACTACAAATGGCAATATTTATATTTAACTTTCATCATACAGTTTTAATATTTAACTCATTTAGACCTCAGCATTTATTAGATTTAAGTAATAATGACTTGTTAAACAGTTAAAATACAAATTTGTAGTAGCAGAAAGAGTTCACATTCAACATTTCAAATTACTCAACATCTGAGCAGTATTTATCAATGCTATTGTTATTTCTCACAATCATTTTGGCTTGAATTAATCAATCATGCATTCTGTAAGTTTAAACAGTTTCTTTTTAAAACAGCGTTACTAGCTTCTTTCCAGTCACAGTGTTTTATTGTTTGAATTTCCTGTAATAAAAAAAAAAGTAGGCTTCGTCATATAATTTACAGTACCAGATGAGAATATCTTTCATTTACTGGTGAGTTGGGAGAGTCTGGTTTATATAAATATACAAATCTTCATTTGTTGTTATTGTAAAGCATTACAGTAAGTAATGTTTACTGTATCTAGAAGATGTGCTGTTATATACTACACTGTTGCTGGAGCCACAGAGTACATGCTTTGTGTGACACTCATTACAAGCAACTAGTATCTGTGCAAAGTGAGATCTAACTGTGTGGGATAGTCCAGTGCAGTAAAATTGATGCATGCACTTTAACTTTTCCTTTCACACTTCAAGCCAGGATTGTTGGCATTTGTTTAGAAGAATGAACAGTTCAGAACTGAGAACCAGCATAACAGCACTCTGGGCTTTTTCATATATGCTTTGTATCCATCTTCAGCAGTAAGCATGAAGTTCCAGTATTCATGGTGCTGGTTGTCTTTTGCTTAGGCCCTTCATGGTGCTGGGTTTGATCCCAGCTGAAGGCAATTTGACAGCAGACCACCTTGTGTTGGTTTCCAGTGGTATTGAGAACCAACCATTGAGAAAGCAATCGCTAACTACTAAAAACGTGAAAAAATTTCCTATTAAAACAAGTAACAGCTGGATTTGAACCCACAACCTTTAGATCCGCATTCAGGCATTAAGCCGTTACGCCATGGTGTTACAACTGTAACATATCCAGAAGTCGACCACACAGAAGATGGACCGCAGAAATATCAGAGATGCTGTAAAGTACTTTATATGAAGAGAATAGGGCCTGTTCCAGAGATCTTTTCCTGACCTGATGCCGCGAAGCATTCCAGGAGTAGAGAAAAGCAGAAGTAGAAGAGGAAAGTTATTGCAAATGAAAATTTGTAACCTAACACCGAAAGACCTTGTCCATAAAGTTCTTTATTATCTGACACTGTCCACTTTCTTTAGGCATGTCATGAGATAAAGAATAGGCAACAGAAAAGTTTTGAAAAGCCCAGTGTGCCATTAACTTAGAAAGGGGTGATTTTTTTTTAAACTGGTAGAAATGCAGAGATGTGGTTTTATAGTCAAATGATGAGAATACTATGGACAGATAAAAAGGTTGTTGTGTATCCTTTTCAGGACTTTGCAGAACCAACCCAAACAGCCCCGGCTGTTGTGTGGTTTCTCTAGGCAAATTTACATCCAGTAGTTTACCATTGCTTTATGGACGGTCGGCTTTCTTGATACTACTGTCGAAACCAACGCAAGGCGCATGGCCCGCAGCTGGGATCGAACCCGGCATCCTGGCATTACAAAGCGTTCGCATCGACTTAGCCACAGAGCCGACTATGGACAGATACAAAGAGTAATGAAGAGGTCTTGAAAGAAACTGACTCACGAAAAGAACTGATTGCCCACATCAGAAAGAGACAATCTACATTCTTTCGTCATGTGATGAGAAGGAGAAAACTTGAGTACATCATGACAGTAGGAAAGTTGGAGGAGAGGAGAGGTAGAGGAAAACCGAGAGAAAAGAGAAAAGATCATAGCATGGGGGATCATCTGTCAGAGGTGATTGAAAATACACAAGACAGAAGGTTGTGTATAGGCATGAAAACCAATGCCTCACAACATGGACTTTAAGAAGAAGAACTTACAGAACTATACTGATAGGGAGTATAGTTTTTCCACTGCTATCAGTTTTGACAACATTGCTTACAATAATGGTTTAACATTAATAGATGATGACTTCGGCAGACAGATCATGTTGTGTGATTTATAAAACATTTTCAGTTAAATAAACGCACATTAATCTGGGACATCCGTTCTACAGATAACAAGGCAGGTAGAAGACTGTCCCAGATTGAAGTGATGAAGATGAGCCTAAAGAAAGTCGAAGCAGCTGGAAGCGATTCAGAAGAGGAAAAGGTATATATTTTGTATAGATAGTGTTGGATGGTGATAGTACATGATAAAGATTACAACATTAGCATGTTGGATTTATGCGCATATGTTTGGCGGTGTGAGTGCTTGCATGTGTGTGTATGTTCCCACACACACACATACACACACACACATACACAAAGAGGAGGAAGAAGCAGCTGCAGTTTGTTTCCTCCAGGTTTGCAGGCCACAGGATTAACACCTTAAGGATGTGAATTCCACATGCACAAGCTCTAGTAAACTCTGTTCAGCTGAAAGGTTATATTATATACTGGGACCCTCAGCGGTTATGAAGTAACCTGAAATCTGGATCAGGCAGGAAAGAGGCTCTTTCACTGTAGAGTGCAGAGTGGCAAGCATTGCTTCAGAGGTCCCAGGTAGTTAGCATCTTTTGGATTTTTTTTTTTACCAGGTGGTGTCTGTGTTTTGGGAAATGAGCAGGTAGATAGACATGCCAGTTCTGAACACCTTGGTGGTGAACTGATGTATGACAAGCTAGCCTTGGTGGTGAATTGATGTATGACAAGCTAGATGTTGTGAGTGCTCTTTGGGAGTGAGTAAACAGTGCAGAGTCACAGATAGATCATTACGGTCTGAGTAGAATGGCGCTGCGGGGAGTTACCAGGGAATCTGGCAGATGCTCAGCACTTAAGAAAAAGGCGAGACGGATATACAATCAGACAGTTATTGATGCCATTGGAATTAAAACTCTTTGCATGCTGTTGAAGATGGGGATCGCCTCTGGGAGTGTCCCCAGTGCTGTGATGTCGATTCTTAGTTCAACATTCAAAATTCTTTCATTGTAACATGATTTCATAAAGAGTTTAGATTATTGCAGACTACTTAGTATATTGACATAATTCAGTATCATATGTATTTAACTTTGTTCATCATTTAAAATTCTTGATTGTATGACTTGTACATTTTCTTGTTAGGTACAGCCCAAAACTACAACTCGAAGGCCCTCAGTAGAAGTAGAGGCACCCGTGAAGAAAGCATTGCTGGATGTGGATGCTTTAGAAGCGCAGCAGCAACAGAGGCGTTCATCCATGCAGACACGCAGGGTGTCTCTTGCTGAAGCCATCTCTGACTGGCCAACTCTTATGCCTAGAAAGATTAAGAAAGAGGTAAAACAGTAGCTTTGTGTTGCCTTCCCTTTTGATTGGATGGTTAGGTAATGAACAAGAAGGATGCATTTTAACTGATTACTTACAGGTTGACCATGTGTCCCGTTTTGACCATGACAGTCTTATTTGTTTGTGAGACAGTGCTGTTGCGTCAGTCCACAAAAAATACCAGTGATTACTCATTTTATAAAAGTTTAGGAATAGGCGGAGAATATTACATACATTTGTAGTTATATCTGGGGACCTTGTTAGATTTCATAGATCTAGATACTTTTCTTCTTTTTCTTTCTTCTTTTGTGTGTCACTGATACCAGGTTGTAGCCCAGTGTTGTGGTTTTGTCATCTCACCTTTACCAGGCTGCAGCCCAGTGTTGTGGTTTTCTGAATATTTGTCTTGCGCTGCTTGGGTGGCTTAGGTGAATAAAGTTTTATGTATCTGTTTGCAGGTTTCAGCTACAACAGTTATCCATCTCTTTCTTGGTCTTCCCCTCACCTTCCTCCCACATGTTTTGCTGTAAAAAGTCTCATATGCAGTTTGGTCTGCATTAGTCCCCAGAAACATGATGAGATCTTTCCCATAAATCCTAGTCATCTTGTAATGTGTAGTCCTAAATTTTTCATTTGGTCACATAATATCAGGCAGAAGTATTTTACCTTTGGTCACATCGAACCTAAAAGAAAAATTTTATATTTAGTCACATCATATCAGGGAGAAGTATTTTACCTTTGGTCACATGGAACCAAAGAGAAATATTTTACATTTAGTCACATCATACTATGGAGAAATGTTTTACATTTAATCACATCATACCAAAGAGACCTAGTATTGTGGATGGCCACTTGGTGTGTGTATCTTTAAAAGTAACCCTGTCATGATAACTCATAGTGTTTCTACTTCTGGATGGTTACTGGAAAACCTAAAACTGATGGGCATTTGAATTGTCCGAGCTCCTTAGAGGTGCATAAATTTCAACTCCCATGTGCAAACAAGTCGCCGTGGCCGAGCGGCTAGACGCTCGCCGCGGATCGGAAGGTCGTGGGTTCGTTTCCTGGCGGAGACGGACTTTTCTTCAAAAATGACCTTGGCTCCCAGGTCGACCCAGCCTTGAGTGGGTACCGGGTGCAATCCCGGGAAGTAGAGGCGGCCGGCGTGATGCTGACCACATCACCCATCTTGTGCCGTTGGTCTATAAAAATATAGGTCTAGCCCTATATGCCCTATACGCCTAAAGGCGTGGAAAGGGTCCTTTACTTTTTTTTTTTTTATGTGCAAACACTTGTTAAGCAAACTGCTACAAAGGTATACCAACTAGCAAAAATTAAAAACTTTCTGGATGAAAACTCAAGGAAATTATTCTATACTTCTCATATTTAGACCCACATAGACTATTGCTCCACAATATGGGATGGATGTGCAAATTCAGTTATCAAATGGCTGAAAGCACTGCACAGAAGGGCTGTTCGTTTAATAGCTAATAGTCATGAAAGTGACTGTTCTCACCTATATAAAGAACTCATGCTATTACCGCTCCAGGAACGCTTACTATTCAATAAAGCTAAACTTATTAAGAAAATCATATCTAAAAATGCTCCATGTTACCTTTGGCCACTATTTAAATACAATGGAAGACATAGCAAACGCCTTAACATGTTGCATATCTCTAAAAATAGAATAGACCTATATAAAACAAGCTTAGCGTACTCTGCAGCTCAGCTGTGGAATAATCTTCCACCGGAAATAAAAAATATCAAAAACCCCTTTAGATACAATCGGAAACTATTTGATTATTATCTCACTACAGACTATATGCCCCCCTAAAAATATTATAGTATGTTCAGGCTTTGATGTATTTTTTCTTATTAACGGGGGGGGGGGGGGGGGGGGGTCGGGGAACTTGGTGGGGGTTGAAAACTGAAGCTTATTATTGTTAAAACTGAAGATGTCAGTCGTATGCATTTCAATATTTGTAACTAATATTTAATTGGTTTTGATGATGTTTATATTATGCAACCTGTAAGACTTACATAATTTTTTGAATAGGCTTATTATTATACTCTTTCAAACGTTCAAGTAATGTCAGTATAAATTAGAGCACATTCCAGCATTTGTTATTAAGACTTAGATATTGTAATTGTTTTTCTTCTTCTCTTTTTTGATCTTTTTTTTCTTCTATATTTCTCAAATTTTTAATTGTGCATTCCTCTTTTTATTATTATTATTAATTATTATTATTATTATTAACTATGAAATGAGGTAAAAATGAAACATTGTGTGGAAGGGCAGAATGTTAGACGGGCCTGCGTGCCCAATTCTTAACCCTTTGAAAATAAAGTTTGTTTGTTCGTTCGTTCGTTCGTTCTCACCTTGTAACAAAATTGCAGACTGGCTGGAAATAGGTCGATAATGGCAGTTGAGCCAAATATGAAGCGAATAAATAAAGAGGGTTTCAAAGTAGAATTATAAAACAAAGATCAGTGATCCAGGGCTGTAGATGGATGATCTCTCGCGCAGTGGAGCACACCAGCTGCTCTGTCTCGAGAGCTAGGTCTAGCCCTATGAGTACTTACACTTATAGGGTGAAAGCGGCACACTTAGGTTGCACGTTACTTATCAGGAAATCCCATCTACAGTCAAAACCGTTGTGCATGACCGAAGAGGCACAAACACAACGGATATAGAGGAGACAACCTCAATTTAAAAAAAACAAAGTCTACGGTAGACCTACGTGCCTATGGGCTGAATGACTGTGGGTTATACATTAGTGAACGTGGAACGTCTGGTTAGCAGGTGGGGTGGCGCCAGGCCTATGGACTCCATCAGGACATCACCTGTCTCTTCCCTAGCAAGCAGGCAATACTAGGGTGACCGTTTACTTCCTGCACTGAAAAATTATTTTCTATGGATTTTGTTTTAATAATAAAAAGAATCATCGCCGGAGCTACGGATTGCGTGCTCTGTGCTTGTTACCATCTTCAGGTGGCAACGGAGAGAGTGGGAGGAGGAGAAGATGAGGAAATGGAGAGGGGAGAAGGTATAGAAACAGGAGAGCCGGAGCCCGGAGAGTCAGACGAAAAACAAATCGTCTTGGATTAGCATATTAGAGTGGGTTACTGGAATTGTCGTAGTGCAAAGCAAAGAGGACGTGTACTGGATAGACTGATTGATGACTTTGATATCATCATGCTGCAGGAATTAAACATAGATAGATGTGAGTGTCCTAGATACATTAGTTACATAAATCCTACTGGACAGGGAAGACATTGACAGTTTCTGCTGGTAAAAAATGGGTTGAAGCATGGGGTTCTTAACCTGGGCCGGTGGAATCATAGTACACTAGAGGTTCAGGGTATACAGATAGATAATGGGGGAACAACCTACAGTTTAGTAAATGTTTATGCTGCTGTTGAATCTCTTGTCACAAAGGAACATTAGGGCTGGCTCAAAGAGGAGAGGTGGAGGAAATCCCTGGTAATAGACTTCTCATCTGTGGGGATTTCAATGCGCAGAACAGAGCATGGGACAGTAGTGGGGACAAAAGGCAAGGAAATGCTTTAGCAGAGGCTATGGTGGATGCAGACGTAGTCTGTATAAATGACGGTAGGCCAACTAGAACGGCCATGAGACCTGGTGATGCAGACGCGGCCATTGATTTGGTGTTTGTTACCCAGTCAGCAGTGCTGGACACAAAATGGAGTGTCCTAGGCGATCATGTGAGTGACCATATGTCATGCTCATTCTTGATTTCTAAAGCTAGGAAGATTAGGGCTGTGAGAACGCGCAAGACTTTTAAGTATGAGAGGGACGACAGTACTTTTTTTGGATGCCTCCGACAGAAGGTATGCAGCAGAACCACCATCTCTGCTTTTGTGCAGCCTCCATGGTGGACACAAGAAGTAGAAAAGGCATGGAGAGCAAAGCGAGCAGCAGTTAAGAAATTACAGAAAGTGCAAAAGGCACCTCACAGGTTAAAAGAGGATGTAGAGAGGCTAGAAAGAGTTATAAAAGAAAAAGTAGAAGAGTTCAAGCGTTGTGCAGCAGATGCAAAGAAGGCTAAATGGGAATATTTTATGAGCAAAATTGGAGGGGATAGATCACTGGGTAGGTTTTGGAGACTTCACAGACAGATGCAAAGGAAGGATCAGCCTATTACAGCAGACATTAAATACACTGATAATGAAATACCAATGACAACAGACAAAGAGAAAGGGGAAGCATTTTTAAAGAGATTTATAGGCCAGATTGATCATAATGATAGGGAGCTTAACATTTTAGTTACAGATAATCTGTATAATACAATTAATGATAATTATTTTGAGGATATTATTAGGGTGGAGGATATAAAACATGTTTTGCAAAAAGCAAAGGACACTGTGCCGGGGCCAGATGGAGTCAGGTATGCCAACATGAAGAGCATGAGTGGTGAAGACTTAACAAAGTGAAATGGTGCACTAATAGTGTTATACTATTTTAATGCCAGAATGCTAATCGAGTTTGGTTTCATAATGATAGAAGCAATACAAATATTACATGTTATATACTTTGCCATCATAACAATTGTGTGACCCTAAAACTGAACCGCCCTCAAGCAGATGCACATGTTACACATAACCTAAATTTGAGACTGACTACGTAGCTAAATTCTGTGTAACATATCACGTAATTTCTTATAGGAGCCAGACAAGTTCAATGAGGAAATGCATGACATCAGAACATTGGAGGGAACCAAGTCTGTCACATTTGTGGCAGAGTTTTGTAAACCAGATGCCAAACTAAAGTAAGTACACTAGAAGTCATATTGCTCTTTCTCTTTTAAATACAAAAATGACTACCTGTTTTGGGGGTTGGGGGAGGGGGGGGGGAACTGCCTGCTTAAGAAAGAGCTCTAGGTGTGCCCTACATAAATATCTATATATAAGAGACCTTTCCAAACATAATTCTTCTGATTTAAGTAAAAGAGTAATTAGAAATGAAGACTCTTTCTGACTTCGTCACATTTTTTGTCAGTGGCATGGCCGATTCTGCTTTGTTTTCTTAGGCCATTCATTCCCTGTTGATGTATAGACTCAACTAGTTTAACTCATCTACGACTTCATAAATGAGCAGCTGAGCATTTTCCGCAGTGTGTGATCAAAGCAGTGCAAAATGCTAGCAGCAACAACCGTCAGCAATCACAATTCAGGCAACTGGTTGAAAAGATCACCACTCGTCCATTCAGGACCATCTTTTGAACTCTGACCACATTTTAAACAAGGACGATGCATTTCAAAATCTATATGTGTTGTTGAATCTTGGAATGCTTCACTATGTGGAAGCGATAACAGTAAACCGGTTCCATCCAATTTTGTGAAGAACATGCTGAAGAATTGTGTCTGTCATAGTAAAATCTGCAGTTACTTTTCATTGTAGTCGATTTTGAATTTCAGCTCATTTGTTTTATTTTAATAAATTGCTATTGTACTGTGCACCTGGCAAGATACAGCTAAATATTCTAGACCATAAATTGTGCAGTCTCACAGTGTCGTCACTGAACATCCCTTTTGTCTCCGACAGTTAATCGCATAATTACAAAGTTAGAAAACATCAAGATCTGTTCCACTTACACAGGTGGCTGAAAAACAAGCTGGAGATCTTCCATGGCCACAAGTACCACTTTGAAACAGACCATGATGACTACAAGCTGACCATCAACAATGTCAAACTTGAGGATGCTGGAAAGTACACCTGCCAGTGTAATTCCGTCTCCACCTCAGCCTGGCTCTATGTTGATGGTAGGAAACATTGTTTTTCAAGGAACCAAACATTAAGTTTAAACTATTTAAGCTCCAAGTGTGGGATCCAGAGCCCCATTTTAAGGAGAAAATACAAGAGCAGACCCACTGCCCCCTCACAAGCATGTCCTAAGAGTTGATTAATTGGGTGGGTTTCCTTCAAAGTCAGAGTGCATCTACGTAAGAGGTGAGTAACCAACAGTTTGCATACAAATAAGCCAGATTTGTAAAATGGATGTACAAGTAAAACTCGAGTTCTGGAGTAAGATTAAAGTCCAGAAGTAGACGAAAAACCAGAACACTCTGCCGTAGTTTTACAGCCGGTGAGCACAAACAATAGGACTATTTCAATTCCAGCTAGTTAGTTAGTTAGTCTTTCCTCTTGAGCCAAGAAATGGGATGGGGTGGGGTGGGGAGGGGGGTGGGGGGGTGGGGGGGGGATTGGGCAAAAGTCATAGCTCTCAATGTCTAGTGGTTCGTTGCCACCTGTTTTAGGTCTTGGATGTTCATAAGACCCATGGTTGAGCCTTCCCTGATGATGGTTCTACACAGGGTCTTTCTTGGTCTACTCTGTTTTCTTTTTTCAAATGCAGAAAAAGAAGAAGAATCCCAACCACCTTCCTCTATGAGTTCTGGGGAAAAATGTATAGTCCCTCTGCTCCTTTGCAAACATGTCATACAAGACGACTAATTAAAGATTTGCAGAAATTGGATGTGTTTAGCTGAAATGTGCAGATATCACAGCTTAGTTGTAAACCACAACACAATATACCAAAATCCCTTTTAAAGGTGATAGAAGAAAAAAAAAATCACAACCATTGTATAATATATGTTCTGACTTTCGGTTTGAGTATGAGACAAATATCTGGCTGCTAGCATTCACTTCCATTATGTGCGTAGCCGTTTAACTAATGCACTTTCATTGTTTATAGTGTGCTCTTATTCTTGGGCATACAGTTGGATATTTTTTTTTTTTTTTTATATCAGAATATTATAGTGATAACAAAACAGGGTGCTGACATGTAAAGAAACATTTATTAACTGCATATGGAACATCTTATGTGCATTTTGTTTAAGACAAAAATATATTCAATAAATATACATATATTTAAGTATGTTTCAAACACAAAGATCACCATTATTATCACTTATAATGCTAAAGCTGAAAACAGGCTGAAAAACATTTGCTCAGAGCAGAGATGTGGTTTCTAAGAAGTATTCAAAGTATTCAAACATCGGTGGTCATGAAATACCAGAAATTCGTTATGCTGATGATACAGTATTACTATCAACATCACAAAGTGGTTTAGAAAACTTATTAACCTCACTCCAAAGAAATAGTGAAAATCATAACTTATTTCTTAACATAGCAAAAACAAAGATAATGCATACAAACAAAACTGCCATGGAGAAGGAAATATATGTTAATGAGGAAAGATTGGAAGTGGTGGAAAATTTCGAATATCTTGGGTCACTGGTTACCAACAATGGTGACACAATGAAAGAAATTAAACAGCGACTATCAATTGCTCTTCAAAGACTAAAACAACTGAATAAATTATGGAATTGTACAGATAGAATTACAAAGGTCAGATTTTTAAGAGCATGCATCTTTCCCATTGCAACATACGCCTGTGAGACCTGGACACTTACTAAACAAGCGGAACAGCGCATAAATGCATTTGAATATAAATGTTACAGACAGGTTCTAAGAATATCTTGGGTAAAGAAAAGAACAAATGCATCCATACTTCAAGAGCTGAATATTGAAGAGGGTTGGCTAGTAAAGACAATAAAACAAAGAAAATTGAAATATTTTGGTCACTTGAAACGTCATGGAAGTCTAGAGAGAACAATAATGGAGGGGTATATGCCTGGGAAGAGAGGAAGAGGAAGGCCAAGGAGAAGATGGGTGCAGGATGTGGCAGATGATCTCCAGATGGGTGTATCAGACGCAGGACATCTTGCTCAGGATAGGAAGGTTTTCCGGAGGGTTGTTATGGCAGCGAGGTTCCGCGAGGGACATGCTACTGAATGAATGAATTCAAAGAATATCATGGAATGAAAGAAAAACAAACATGGAGTGAAAGAAAAACAAAGCAGTCCTCATAAGGACAAGTGAAAGTCGTTAACTTATTAGAACAGATAGATGTAGACAGTCAATGTTCTTTGAACATAGGCCTATTATGAGAAAGAATGGACTCAAGAACTTGGTATAAATTGCAACATTGATGGAAAGAGAGCAAAAAGAACATGTGAGATGGCAAAACCTATAATTACTGTTATGGCACATGATAATAATGCCAAAATGATTTCTGTACCTGCACTTACTACTGCACTGTGTTACTAATGTGCTTACAGCAAGAGAACCAGAATACTACTTCACACAGAAACTGCCTGAAACATACAAGTTCCCAAGGAAGAAGGGGGGAAGCATGGAGTGTTTTGTCTCAGATCCTCGGGCACGAGTGAAATGGTTAAAAGGAGATGAAGTTCTTGAGGTAAGGAGTCATTCTTTCTATTATCGCTGGTATGCTTGCGGTTAAACAGTAAGTGCTCGCCTGTCAGTTGCATGTATGGCTTCATGGAGATTTTTTAAGGAACCTTTTGACCACTTTAGAAGAATGATGCTAAACAGAGCTTTTTTTTTTTTTGCGGTATGCAACAGTTACACTACAGGCGCTTTTTTTTTTTTTAGTAGGTGTCATTTTTTTTTTTTAGTGCTGATGTGATGGACACTTTGAAATGTGTACAACCAACTTTTTAAGACACTATGTGGGGAATAATGTCATCTTTGTTAATTTTTTTTTTTTTATCCTATTCTAGACCCAATGGCACTTAATTAGTGATGTGGTTAACATATGCTGGCCTTATTTGCTTCTGAGGAAATTTCCTGGTACTGATTTTAGAATGGGTTGACCGTGAAGCCAAGGTAAATTATTAACAATCTGGCAAAGTGTGGATTCAAACTTAAGATCTTTGGGCTGGAAGGCAATCATACAAACATTTGTGGTATTGCAGCTTTATTTAATTTTTTAAAATAAACTCTTAGAAAACTATTTTGGAAAGAAAATTGATAGCAGGTGAACAAAAAAGTAAACTGTGAAACAAATTGTGGGGAATCAAAAGGTATAGAAACAAAAGCTTGTCAAAATGTACAAACAAAGGAAGAGAGATATTAGCTAACCTTCTTTTGGATACAGAATTCAATTGATTGTCTGAGAATGCTTACTGTAATCCATACAATGTGCATATATTAAATTTTCAGTTCAGTACAGCTTTGATGTTTTAACAACAGTATATACATATGCTAAAATTATAGACACAGACAGAATCTCTACTATAATATGCCATCTCTGTGCCAGACACTGCTTTCTGTGTGGCTGGCTATATGCGTCAGCACCCAGCATCATGTCTACTTTTATATTTTGTGTTTGGCCATAATATTTAAAAAAAACCTGGCTACTAAGATGATAACTTTTTTCTTTTTGTTCTCAACTTTTCTTTAGGGTGTCTCTATGTATTTCTAGAACACTGTAGTCTAGTAGTTTATTTTCGTGGAATTGCTTAATAGTACAAAAAGAAGGTTTTGTTCGTTTATTTGAAACTTTCTGAGACATTGCATACACAGGGTGTACACATGTAAATGTTTCTTGATATTACAAATTATTTTTTTGAGTTTACCTGTTATACAAGAAATAGTACAAGTGGGACATAAATGATACAGGTATTAAAGTAGATTCAGGGGCACCAAATGCCATGGACCGTGTTGCGTGTAGAGGGAATCTAATGATTCTCCTAGCACCCTTCACTACACGCTTGTTAGGTACAGAGACCGTGCTGATACTTGAACATCTTAGATAAACAGGCACTGGAACACAGCTGATTGATTTGATACAATTTTTTCCTTCTAACACCTGTTTCATTGCCAATGTACTTAAAGATACCTGTCTAGGGTGACTGACTTCGGCCACTTGTAGGTTCTAAACAATCGTTCATACCTTTAGAAGACGCCAGTTCTCAACACTCCCAAGAAATTTAGAAATTTAGGACACATCAGGATTTCATTCGATCACAGCTGCATCAAACACACATGAGCGTCAAATGTCAGACCAACTTGCCAGCTAGGTTTTCATGAAACTTGTATTCAGTTGTAAGACACACTTACTCGCAGATCGATTCCCTCACTCTTGCTCATCACCATCAGACATGCTGTTTCAACACTAAAAACAAGACTGATCAATCTTGATAATTCCAGACTGAAATAATCTTTCTCTCCCTTATGTTCTCGAACATTCAACGCACATAATCCATGTTAAATTTTTTATTTGGCATGCTTTTGGCCGCATGTTTCACATTCTTCTTGCATCACATTTTGTACTCGATTCCATTCACCTGAGCTCAAGTACATAATTTATGTTTAGTATCTAACCTCATTACCAGTGCAAACATTAATTATCAAGGAGAAAAGGACTACTTAAAGGGGAATTTGAGGAACCGAATAGAAATAAGCGAAAAACGGATTGTAGATGTGCTAAGAGCTAAAGCTTGTGAGAAGAAACATTATAAACACATGCTATTGCAACAGTGGTCCTGAAATTGCATTGTAGATGTAGATTGTAGATGTGCTAAGAGCTAAAGCTTGTGAGAAGAAACATTATAAACACATGCTATTGCAACAGTGGTCCTGAAATTGCATTGTAGATGTAGATTGTAGATGTGCTAAGAGCTAAAGCTTGTGAGAAGAAACATTATAAACACATGCTATTGCAACAGTGGTCCTGAAATTGCATGCTTTTATTGTGGAGGACTTCCAAATGCAAGCAGATCTTACTAGTCACACTCACCATTGCAAAGATCTTTAATTCCCAAGCTTCCTATAGAGCACACCTGTTCAGATAAGTTCACTTAGGAGCCAGAATGTCGAAAGTGGAGATAGTTACAGGCCAGAGGCCCGAGCTCCTGCTTAGAAAGATCACTTTTTTTGGCTATGATTCACAGGCTATTTGCTAGGCCTCTGCAGGCCTATTCAGCCAGCAGGCCTTCAGTGTAATAGCCCTGCTATAGAGCAATATAGACAGTGTCATATTAATGATGAAATTTGTTAACAATGTAGATTTTAAAAATTCCTTTGAAACCATGCAACTCATGTGTTTATTGGGTAGTCTAAAGATAGTATACATTTTGACTTTCTTCTTTCGCAGATAGCTTTTTGCATTAACTAAGTAAATCGAGATTGTTTTACTCTGCCCCAAAGTGTTATTATTTAACTTCTTTGGCTAATTCAACCTAGAACTTTTAAAATAGAAGAAGTTGAGTTGTCACAGGTTTGATTCCAAAAGAGTTAAAAATTATTGTAAACAGTTCCAGGACAGCTGAAAGCTTCAGTTGAGACTGTGAAGCAAGAATCTTAAAGAAAGAAACATTGCATATCAGAGCAGAACTCATTTCTGATCATGTGATTTTGACACTGTGATGAATTATAACAGAAATGATGATCATCATCATGTGCCAGACAGTCATGGACTGTGATATGACATGATCATTAGAATAATGGGTGACACACCTGATCCACTTGGTGTGCTGCTCTTTTTTGTTAAGTCACGAATTTACATCACAGCACTATGGGCATTCCTATGCATGCTCCTTCCTCATCTTAAGCAGCCAGCACAGAGTTCTAATACTGATGGTACTAACCTTTTTTTGTTGTTGTTGACATTATGCTGTACTAAAGTAGCTGTTGAAGAATCCTTAGCATTCCTTGGACAGCTAAAAAGAGCAACCCAGTGGTTTTTAAAGAGGCGAGGGCTCAGAAACAACTTTTCACAAACATCAGAAAGAGACAGTCTACATTTGTTGGTCATGTTATGAGAAGAAGGAAACTGGAACATGTTGTGACCACTAGATAGATCTGTGCAAAGAGAGACAGAGGAAGACAGCACAAGAAGATTCTTGACAGCCTTTTTTTCATGACCTGGAGGGTTTTTAATAGATGATCTCATACACACAGTTGCAGATCGTAGATTGTGGTAAAGCATGATTGCCTAAGCTAGTCAGGAATGGCACTTGATGATGATAAAAGTTGCTGCCAGGTTACTTATTTATTTTATACTCATTTTATCACTTTGAGACGTGAGTGCAGGGACTGGCAAGTGGTACTGCAGAATCAGAAGTCAAAAAAATATTCAAGACAATTCCTACCCAAGTGATGTGATTATCTATACAGATGGCTCTGTGTTCAATGGCAGACAAAGTGCGTGGGGGGTTTATAGCCATGGTGAATGGACGTAGCTTGTTGCATCAAGCTTTGCATACGATATCACAACATCTAGTTTGAGAATGGAGGTGGAGGCAGCCACTGCTGCCTTACACTGTCTTGAGAATCAGCTGTACACACATGCCGTGATTGTCACTCACTCGCAGAGTATGTTGAGAAAGATGGAGACAGGTATGCTCCGTGCAGAGTGGCAAGCATCACTTCAGAGGTCCCAGGTAGTTAGTGTCCTTTGAATATTCTCTCCAGGTCATGCCGGTGTGTTGGGAAATGAGCAGGCAGACAGACTGCACCACTTAGTGGTGAAATGATGTATGACAAGCTAGATGTTGTGAGGGCCCTCTTGGAGCAATTGAACAGTGCAAAATTGCAAATAGATCATTATGGTCTGAGGAGAATAGCGCTGCGAGGAGTTACCAGGGAATCTGGCCGACACTGAGTACTCAAAGAAAGGGTGAGGCAGATATACAATCAGACAGTTACTGACGCCATCAGAATTGGAACTCTTTTTTTGCTGCTAAAGATGGGGATGGAGCGCTTATGAGGGTATCCCAAATGCTGTGATTTCAATTCCTAATTCAACATTCAACATACACATTTTATAGGAAAGTAATCCTTGCCTGTGACAGAAAGAGTTCATAAACTACAGCTGCTTCATTTGTCTTCAGTGAAAGTGACTCTGTCTCCTTCCATCTGATGTCTTTAGAGTGTAGTCATGCCTCAAACAGAGGACCATCTCCCCATCTTCTGGTTCACCACTTTGATCCCCAGGCTCAACATATTTGTAAACAGGTCGAGGTATTGATCTCAGCCCTCCTGTCTGTCTCTCGCCCTTTACTCTGTGCCCATGTCTTGGTCTGGTATTGTAGGCTTTGTGTCCTCCCATTCTGTTGGCATCAGCGGACATGTATCTGGGTATCTGGGGAAGCTTAAACTGTCCTGTAGGATGATTTGCAGGCTGAGAAACTGCTCGCTGCTTTTTGCCCCTCTGATATCTAGAAAGTCTCCTGTTGTGTTTGGATCGGTTAGGCTGCTCTACTTTCATCTGTAAGTACTTTTTGCCAATATTGGCTTCATACACAATCATTCGTTCCTTAAGTGGTGTTTGTTTTCTGGTGCCGTCTTTGCTGTTGGCGGTAAAATACCATTGCATAAAGTTTCCAATTGAAGCCAGACCCCCTTCTGGTACTTTGCGATCCTTCCATAAGACGTCTTTGATTTGCTGAAGTTTGGGATGTGCAGGGATTCTCACCTTGGTCATCCAGTCATCATACAACACAAAGAATGTTCTAAACTGCTTCCTTGGAATCAGAAAAATTGATGATTTGATAGTAATCCTTGTGCTAAACACCGGCAGCCTTTCATCATCATCAAGCACAGTACCACAAGACAGCAGAAGGAAGTCCTGAAATGAGAGGCCGGTTTTCATCTTTACTCGCATGAGAAATGTGGCCAGTGTCTCCTTGCTGTAGGCCAGCATCTTATAGATAATATTCTGATGGCCATGAATAAACACAGGGTATTGCCTCAGACTAAGTTCAATGGGAACTTTGTATTCATCTATTACATCTACAACTCTTTTGTTGTTGGGCAGGCTGTAGCCATCAACAATGAAGTCATACATTGTAGCATTGGGCACGCCAATTCGTTCTAATGTGTCCTTGACTGACTTTATTGAACGACTGGGTGCCACCTTTAGCACCTCAGTTATTCCCTTGGCGATTTTGAACTTTAGTGGGATTCCATACAAGAAATCATCATCTCTTTTAATAGCTTCTACATCCAAATGAATAGTGTCCGTTTTCGAGACCGAACCAATAGTATCAGAAAAATCAATTGCAAACTTGTCATTAAACACCAGCTTCATTAAGTTAACCGGGTATCCAGTCATCCCATGAAGTTTAAGCACAACTGTGGACCACCTGTCAAACTTGGACACCCAAAGTTTCTGTACATCCCCTGTGTCCAGAATAATAGGTACTTTTCGAATGTCCATTTCATGGGCAAGGCCTATTGTTGACATCCTTAGAACACTACCACTTTCAATTTTATAAAAACCTAGACATCGGTCCCAATCAATCACTCGAGAGCCCAAATACAAGACTAAAGTGTGCTTTGGTAGAAATAGTTCGTAAAGTCTGACAATGTCGACAGCATTGTGGCTGACGGTACGGCGAAGAATGCTGGCGATAATTCCGAAAGCTGTAGTGCATGAGTCTATATACAGGTGGTACCGCTTGCCCCAGAAGGTTTCCACGTGAACAAGGATGTCATTCTTGACCTTCAGCAACACAAAAAGTGTACTGCTGTGGGCAAGACCATACTCAAATAGGAACCTTGTGTTCTCCAGAGGCTTGTCTTTGTACAGTAAATCCATTCGGTCAATTGGATACCCGTATTCTGCTTGTAGCCGGCTCTTTAGTTCCAGCACTGACATAGTTATATTCACCTGCAGATATATAAAAAGAAAAATATAGTAACAGACTATTTTTACTCAGGTGATGCATTCGGCATATGATGCTAAAGCCATAGGTATATCGACCAGTCAGCACTTTAAAGTGATGTAGTTTGTATCACATTGGCTGTGTGTACTTCCCAGGACATTTCCTGTTACACATTTTAGACTGGTTAGACCTAAGAGCCAAGGCCAGAAATAAAAAGGAATTGCTTCAATGCAAATTCAGAACCAAGACTTTCAGGGAGTTGGCATACAAGCATCTAACCACTGCACTGCCACAGCTAATATAAAATATATATGAGGGCGTTCAAAAAGTAAAGTACACGATTTTTTTGTCTCAGAAGCTGTTTATTCAATAAAGCTTGAAATTTCTACACATGCGTAAGTCATGTGTACATTAGTACTAACAACATAATCCCCATAAACGTGTACAGCTTTATGCCAGCGCAAATGTTATACTTCTCATCCTTTTAAGGACGAAATTTTTCGTTATTTGAAGCCCTACTCTGGCTCTTGTCAGGGGCCACAATATAGCCTGGCCATAAATATGACCTAAAGGCTAAACGCGGTTTCTGGGACCTCTCCACTGTGATCCTCACCCACATGGTGGAACATTGTGTCATCAGGTGTTTATCGCTTGTGTGATGTCCTGGTGGGGTAGAAAGTCAGTCAGTCAGTCAGCCAGTGCAAAACCAGTGCATGTATTCCTAGCCTGTACCAGATTTTCTTTTGATCATGCCATTTCTTCCCTGCCTGAATGACTCCTTCATCATCTTCAAGCCTCGTTCCACAGAGTGCATCTTCAAGTGGACCAAATAGATGAAAATCAAAGGATACCTAAATGGGACTATAGGACCCAGTTTTGTGATTGCTTCCCTTGTTGCCAGACGTGTGTATGGGCGTGAAAGAGAAGCAAGTCTGCTAGATTTTTATACAGTCTTAATGCAACCTTGCGACTTCAGAACGCCCATACACATCACATAGACACTGGGGCTAATAAACTGTAAAGGATAAAGCAAATAGAGAAAATGGCAGATAACAGAGACAGAAAAACTGTGGAAGCAACAGAGCTGAATGGGGGTAGACTACAGTGGAGACCAAACAAACAGTGGAGAAATAATATACAGGCAGACCAACACACATTTGGAGTTGCTAACTTCAAAGAGAAGACCAGTTTTTGAGATAAATACAGGCAGATGACATCTGCAGCACTGAACCTTAAAGGCTTGTTAGGAATTCTGAAGACAAAGAAGAAGGTGTAGAAACTCAACCAGTCTGTGCAATGCTGCCTAATAAATGAATCAAAAGCCACTTACAATGCCTCTACAGGCCAGATTTGACCCTCTGGATGCCAGTTGAATAACCCAGCTATAAATGAAAAGCTAATGAGATGAAAACAAGAATCCTGGGATCAGGATAAAGTCATTAGCAGAAAGCGAGAAAACAGTCAGCAGAACATGTTTCTGTAGTAAAAAACTTTACAAAAAAGAGATGAGAGCTACAACCCAACAGTAGTAATTAACAATAAAACAGGAAAACCAATATTAGACCCCCCCAGAGATGGTTGAGAATACTTCACTGAGCGTTTCAACCTCTTAGGAGATTGCCATGAAAGAACAACCAGACTTCAAAGCAGCAGTGCTAGAACCTGATATACTAATTCCTGAAGTCATTAAGCAGAAGAATTTAAGTCAAATAATATGAAAATCAACATCAAAAAGACAGAAGTAATATCAATAGAAAGAAAGAAGCAGGATTTAAACATAGCCTTAGAGAATACATATATTAAAAAGGCATATGAGTTCGAATATCTTAGAATAACATTCACTGAAGATGGAAACTGAACGAAGAAATTGACATCCGACGCAGTAAAGCAGGCAAGTATTGGAACAGCTAGCTCCCTCTTACAGCATAAGGCAATCCAAATTAGCACAGAGACATCTCATACAAAGCATATTCCTTCCCATCTTATGCTACCAGTGCCAGATGTGGTTACTCACAACAAAACATAAAAGAAAATTAGTAACCGTGGAAATGAGGTGTCTGAGAAAAATTGTAGGAGTGACCAGAAGAGGTAAAATCAGGAATGAGGTCATACGAGATAAAGTCAGCACAGAACCAATTCTAAAATACATGCAAAGATGGCAAATCAAATGGTTTGTCCACTTGGAGAGAATGCCTTCTGATACTATACCATCGATGGCATAAACCAAAAGAGGAGAGGGACATAGAGCAAGTGGTGGACCAAGAATAGTATATCTAATAGACAACTTCATAGCTGTCTTGTTGTACTTCTAGTACCAACAAGACAGCTGTAAAGTTGTCTATTAGAGATGCTGGCATTGGATAGGACACACACTTAGAAAATCTGATACAGAAACATTATAACTAGAATAGAGTTACCCTGGAACCTTCAGTGCAAAAGGGGGTAACAGGACAAGTTGGTTGAGAGCCTATGCTCTGTTAGTAATTAGTTAGGATTATCATCACAGCGCTCCGGAAAGATCTAAAAGTTCTCTGATCTCCTCTTCAAAAGCTCCATAAGTGTAAAATCATTGATGACACCTGTTCTCTGTTGATTGCAGCTACAGGGTGCACTCCCATGTCTGTGCTCTGTTGGGTACAAGAGGACTAAATCTCATTGTTCGTTTCTGCCATTGTCCAGTTATATTTGTAGGCAGACTATACTTAACACCTAGCAATTGAAAGTATATGACAAATACACATTTGACAACAAGACGGTACCAACCACCATGTCAATCTTATGTGCTAGCTGTTTGACTTCAATGGTCACCATGTAGTCATATAAGGGAACAATCAAGATGGCCGTCCCTGGCTTGACAATAAATACATGTTCCATATCTAGGGGTCTTTTGTGGCCAGGAAGCAGGACCATCATCTGTTAAAGAGAGGGAGAGAAAAAGAGAGACTGGCTGAAGCAGTAAAGCCACCATGTATGAAGGATATTTGTGGCTGAAAAATATATAACAATAGAAACACCATGTATGATGAAGATATATGACTGAAACATATATTGCAGTAGAAACATTGTGTATAATGGAGATGCATTGTAGAAACATATGTAACAGTAAAAACACCATGTATGATGGAGTTGTTTGGCTGAAACATATATGACAGTAGAAACACCATGTATAATGGAGATATATAGCTAAAACATATTACAGTAGAAACACCATGTTTAATGGAGATATATAGCTAAAACATATTACAGTAGAAACACCATGTATAATGGAGATATATAGCTAAAACATATTACAGTAGAAACACCATGTTTAATAGAGATATATAGCTGAAACATATTACAGTAGAAACACCATGTTTAATGGAGATGTATTGTTGAAACATACATAACAGTGGAAACACCATGTAAAAAGGAGATTATGACTAAAACATATATAACAGTGAAAACATATATAATAATGGAAATACCACGTATAAAGGAGCTTATGACAGAAACATATGTAACAGTGGAAACACCACATGTAAAGAAGATTATGGCTGAGACATATTTAACAGTGGAAGCAACATGAATGATGATGGTGAAAAATATACAACAGTCGAAACATTATGTATGATGGAGCTGAATAGCTGAAACATATATAACAGTGCAAACACCATGTATAAACGTGACTATGGCTGAACATATACAACAGTGGAAACACCATATATTATGGAGCTGTATAGCTGAAACATATTTAACAGTGAAAACACCATGAATAATGATGTATGGCTGAAAAATATGTAACCATGGAAACATCATGTATGATAGGGTTGTAAGGCTGAAGCATGTATAGCATTAGAAAAACACTATACGATGATTGCGATGTACGTCTGAATCAGACATATAACTGTAGAACCACCTGACTAAAAAAGTATACTAGGTCGAAGTTATATTGACCACATCGCTGATTGAGTATGGATTGATCTACAGAAATTGCAGTTCTAGAACAAAGTGTGTGATGCGCAAATTAGAGGTAAAAGTAAAGTCGGGAGATGTGGACCAGTGTCATTGCATACAGTTATAAACCATAAGTGCTTAGCCACCAGTACAGACAGCTGATAAGAAACTGTCCGCCTGTATCGCCGTCCGCACATAACTCCGTAGCGACAGCGTCGTTCCTCAGTTTACCCCAGAGTGTAAGCTCTAGTACCCATTTCCTAGAGGCTAGGTAAACCCCGGTAACCGCCCGGTGTCGAACAGCTGAATTTGAAAGCGAGTCTACTATCGACTGCGCTAACGCCATATAGCACATTTATGTTAGAACACCGGTCTATGGCTGGAACATTTATGTTAGAGCACCAATCTATGGCTGGAACATTTATGTTAGAGCACCAGTCTATGGATGGAACATTTATGTTACAGCACCAGTCTATGGCTGGAACATATGGCCCTAGTCCAATATGGCAGAGAGAATGGATTGTATTGTGCTGATTTTTTTTTACCCCTGCGCTCCGGTCTCCCATCTGCAGAGCAGCTGGTCGCCCGCAAGAGCGATGCACAAAGTTCCAGCAACGACCATCGGGTATTTTCGAAACACCTGCATCGACGAACTAAAGGATGGATGTCGAAATCCAACTAACAACATGCAGATCACGAGATATATGGCTTGACGTTTGCGTCCAGGAAGTAAAGGCGGCCGGCGTGATGTTAACCAGATCATCCAATGAATGCCGATTTATCTATAAAATATAGATCTAGTCCCATTGAGTGCCGATTGATCTATACAATATAGATCTAGCCCTACATGTCCACTACGCCTGAAGGCGTGGAAATGGGTCATTTACTTGTATGGAGATCCACTCAGACCCCAAGAAAGAAAAAATCCAGACTGATTTTAATGCATCACGATTTCCCTCTCCCTTACCTTGTCCACTGCTGTGTTAAACTCCAGACTGTTCCTTGCATAGGAAACTATTGTCATGAACGAGTCACCAGCTATGGGCGTAAACAGGCAAATAGTATCCGGGTTTTTGTGTGTCCAGATCGCTAGTTGTTGTCCATAAACTCTGTGAAGATCTAGTTCCCCATATATGGCATCATATGGATTGCGTTCGTCTTCTGAATCCCCAAAGATTGACTCCGGTATAGGACCTTCCGGAAATGGGCCGTTGTTGTAGGCCTGTTGAAAACAGAATCAGATCACTTAACAAGTTTGTTTAAATGTCAAAAAAATCGACTTAATTAAATCTGATTTTATTTCCAAATGGCGGGAATAGTCACTGTTCGACTGTCGAGAACGTCGTACAAATGACGAAGCTCTTTACGTCCACCGGCGACCGCAGTGGTACTCCGAAACACGTGAACTAGCTAATTTCAGAATAGATTCCTAAACACAGCACACGAACCACAGAGCGCGAGGCAGACGGTTCAATCAGGGAGACCATCTTTCCTTTTCCCATGAAACGCCGTTGTCTAGCGGCTAGACGCTAGCCTGCGGATCGGAAGGTCGTGGGTTCGGTTCCTGACGTGGGCCAGACTTTTTTCAAAAATGACCTTGGCTCTGAGGTCGACCGAGCATGGGAAGTAGAGGCGGCCGGTGTGATGCTAACAACTACATTATCCACCAAGTGCCGTTTGGTCTATAAAATATAGGTTTGATTTGATTTTATTCAAGAACCGACACCACAGCTCTCGGGGCATTCCCATAAGCGCTCCGTCCCCATCTTCAGCAGCCAGTGAAGAGTTCCAGTAGCATTCTGACTAAACGTCCGTCTGTCCTTGCCTTTAAGCCTCGAGCATGTTCCAGAACCTTTCGTCACTCCCCCTGCATCAATCTCACCAGACTGTGGTGATCCATCTGCTCCTCCGAACTGTACACGCTCTCCCATAAGGCACTAACCACGTCAGCATCAGTATTCCACTAAGTTGTGCAGAGCCAGCCAGTCTGTCCGCCTGTTCATTTCCAACACACCGACGAGACCCGGTGGAAAAATCTAGCCAATACTCCTCACTCGTGTTCTCCGCAGCGAGGCATGCCACTCTGCACGAAGCATGCCTGTTCTGATCTTCCTCAGCATGCTTTCTGAGTCAGTTACAATCACGACGTGTGCGTGTGTGTCGAGTTCTCTAACCAGCGGAAAGCTGCAGTGACCGCCTCCACCTCCATTCTTAAGCTGGATGTTGTATCATATGCTAGCCTATCTACCCCCCCCCCCGGGAATATTAGACTGTCCCGTGACCTGTGGATTTCCCCTGTCTGGGGTAGGATATTAATAAAGCACACACACACACACAAAATAACTTACTGGTGCAGTGTTGAATAATCGTTCACCTTGGTGTCCTGTTCCCCATCCCTGAATTGGTTGCTGCTCAATTTGAAAACCTGCCATCCTAGTTTGGTATCGGCAGCATAGTCATTGGGTACGATCTTAGATCCGTATGGTTCTGTAGAGGTACTGGCACAATTTTATAAATTTTTATTGTTGCAGTTTTTGTTCTCACAAATAATAACGCAACAGCTGCAAAACCTGGAAATAAAATAGTTTGCAATAAAAAAGTTACTTGCGCACCCTTTACAAGACGTTGGAGAACTAATCGCAGCATGTTTTGACTGTGATGGTTTTTTTTTAGGTACAATTTACGTTCAATAATTTTGCAATACAAACTGGCAGTAATTACTTTCAAGTCCTTTGTGTGTGCGCGCGTGTATGTGTGTGTCTGTATCATCTTATTTATACTATAATTAAAGTTATTGCCTATACTTTATAGGAAGTTGCAACATGCCGCAGCATTTGCTGACTCCTTGCGGTCTTACTAGGCAATATTTACGTTCAGTAGTATGCCATTGCTTTCTTAAGTCTGCAACCCTCATGATGTTGTCGAAATCTACATTAAGCGGTCTTTTCCCATATCATTTGCTACTGAATCGAAACCGGTATGTCGGAATGACAAAACTGCGTTCATGGTCCGTCATTATACCACTTGTGCTGTGTAGGCAGGGTAGCTTTGAGCTTTATTATTTACGGCCGCATAGCTAATGCTGTCGCTACGACTGTGCAGGTGAGGATTTTTTTTTTTTTTTTTGCCCCTGACAAAAAAAAAAAAAAAAAAAACCAGTCTTACCGAAGATTCGAACCCGGGTCTCCAGACGCTGCTCACAAAGCTGTGTTCAGAATCCCTAAGTCAAAGGCCCCAGCAAATAATATAGTAATTGCGTGTTAATTACAGAGCGTCTGTAGATAGCTACTCCCATACACGATGTCTTCTAAAGTTTGAGGTTAAAACAACGGACCACTATCATGGCACACAGGTAGTAACCCATAAGTGCTCTGTTCTTCTAACTCGTCTGATTCCGAAAAAGCCCAGCACAGTGCACGAGCTCTGTAGCACCGTCAGGGATCCTGAAATTCTTTGGGTAGATTTTTAACTCAAATTGTTGCCCAGGTCTACTGTTTTTGATTTCCAACTGCCAGGGGATTTTTACGTGCGCAACAATACACACTGGCATCCGGTCTCAGTGCCCAGAGACCAGGGGAATTACCAGAAGTCCAAGTCCACGTGAAAAAATCCCAGCCTTTACCGGGAATTTAACCCGGCACCTCTAGCACTCGAAGCAGACACCATGCCTGGAGATCACGCAATCCCTCAGCTGCCTTCTATGAATGTAGAAGTTAGAAACAGGTTCCTTAGAGTGAACAGGGCAATGGATTTTCTTATTTCTTCTGCCCCCCCCCCCCCCCAACTATTGAGGATTGGCGCGACACTGTCTCTTATTGCGAAGTAAACCTGAACTGCACAATCCGGTTAATTATGAGGAAGTGTAGAAAAGTCTCGCATTTCGTTGACTGAGCGCTTACGCAGCCCCCCTGTGACGAATAAATGGAAGGCTACACATTAATGGTGATGGCGATTTGAATCAATTGAAATCTCCTCTGTGTGTCGACTTCGAAGAATCGATATTTTTCAACCGTTCAAAACTACTTTTATCAAAATTGCCACTTTACCTCCTCCTGTGGCATGATGTTATTATTTAACCTATGTAAATACAAGAAATTATGAAGTTTAAAACCTTGTAAAACCAGTACAAATTAAAATACTGTCTTGGGCTAACTAACTTTATCCCTGACGCGAAACATCTTTCAACGCCGAATCTGTCGTAATCGTACTTCAATGTATTATCACAGCAACAAGTTGGAATGCCTATTCCATTTCGCCTCTGTAAGACGCAGTATAAAAACTCATTATTGACTTCACTGTTGTATAACTTATAAACTAAATAACTTTTATACCATATAAATAAAATCAGCTGAATAGATATTTAAAAAAAAACCTAATATACCATTAAACTCACAACAATATAGTGGTACCTTTTAAAGGTAATTCTCATTATAAAAAATATACAATAGTCTCCTAGTGACTGCCTAATGCATACCTTATAAAGACATTTCTCCCTATCGAAAATATACAGCAGTCTTAACATAATGTTTACACACCCAACAACCGTTAGATCTAGTAAATCGATTTTTAGTTCTGCGGCGGGATCTTACCCGAAGCACCACTTCTAGTTTCTATATCACGCAGGGGCACCAACACAAAGAAAATTATACATTAAAAAAAATTTAATGGGGGGGGGGGGGTGGCCCTTATTGGGCGTAAACCTTGTTTAAATTGGCAATGATAATTTTAGTCATTGTTATGCATGAATCGCACACAGATGTAATAATAAATTGAAATAATTCAAAAAGGGACATCAAATACTTAAAAGGAGAACCTCTTTACATGTCTGTGTGTGTGTGTGTGTGTGTGTGCGAGGAGGGGGAAAGGGGGGGGGGAGGGTTAACTTCCTCGTAACTTTCTCACAAATTTTATATGGTCTGCCCTCCCCGCTCTCATAATTATTTTTAAATGTATACTTGTAAGGGGTGCAGCGGGGAACTGAATGTGGCTGAACTCGCCCCTGTTGTCCTGGTTCTATCAAGTGTGCGTATACTCCAGGATATCGGTGACAGAGCCCTTATTATTGGCCGCCCCTGACCTCGTATCGATCGGGGGTTGACGCTGTCGCGGATATGAATTCCAGCCGTTGTATTTCCCACCGGGTAGTCTGTCAAAGGTTCTTTTGTAGTTGGGTACCGCGAGGTAACTTAGCCTTACAAAATTCTGCCGGCGCTGGGACTTCGCTTGATCACAGAGGTGGGTCAGTCTTTCAGGCTGCAGTCCTAAAGGGGAAACACTTACAAACAAATGCTAACATATGTGGTTATGGGCATGTCAGTCTGCTGGAAGTCTGGCTTTTCTGGGAGTGTTGCTAATTGTCTGTGTGTGTGTGCCTGTCTGTCAGTCTCTCTCTCTCTCCCCTCTCGCTCTCCCCCCCCCCACTCCCTCCATCTCTCTTCTGTCTGCGTGCCCATCTTTGTATCTTCCAACTACTTAGATATTTCTCTATTTAGCCAATCACCCGTCTACCAGTCCTTCTGTATGAATAGTTATTCCTGTCTGTCTGTCTGTCTGTCTGTCTGTCTGTCTGTCTGTCTGTCTGTCTGTCTGTCTGTCTGTCTGTCTGTCTGTCTGTCTGTCTGTCTGTCTGTCTGTCTGTCTGTCTGTCTGTCTGTCTGTCTGTCTGTCTGTCTGTCTGTCTGTCTGCCTGTCTGTCTGCCTGCCTGCCTGCCTGTCTGTCTGTCTGTCTGTCTGTCTGTCACCTTTCTATATGTGTATATATCTCTATCTCTATATGTCTTATACTCTGTCTTGGTCACTGTTTTTCTGCTGCCTGTCCGTCTCTATAGCTCTATATGTATATTTATGTCACCACCATGTCTTTTGCCAGTGTGCTTGCTTGTTTGTCTGATATGATACTGAGTAGCTAGTGCTCTTTCTCTCAACGTTTCCTCTCCTTACAGCTCCCATGTATGGTTAGTCATTTGATACCAGTTCTATAAGGCTGATTTGATCCCAGAGCAGCATTAGGATGGGAAGAAGAATTCTGATACTATCCGGCATTTAACTGTGACCATTAACTCAGTTATGTAATGATTTGCTACCATTACTCTATTATTTACATATCATTTTGGTAACTCTTTCCCTTCAGATTATGATAATTGTACTGCTGGTAGCTACTACTACAATGTTCTCTTTGTTTGCTGCTCCTGCTCCTCCTTCTTTTTTCTTTTTCTCCTCCTCTTTCTCTTTTTCCTTGTTCTCCTCCTCCTTCTTTTCTTCTTCTTCTTCTTCATCTTCTTATGCCTCCTTCTGCTCCCCATTCCCTCTTTTTCCTTTATCCCTTCTCTTCTTCTTCCTCCTCACCTTTCCTCCTCCTCCTGTTCTTCTTAAAATGAGTCAAGCGGCGAGGAAATGGCCCTGAATATGACCCACACTGAGTTTAAAAAGTAAGACTGTCTTGTGCAGGAACTCAGGATCAAAGAATTAAAGGAACACCACCCCCCCCCCCACCCCACCCCAAACACACACAAACAAAAAAACATGGAGCAGGGAATCAGACAGTAAGGTTGAGAAGAAAAAAAAGGGGATGGGGTGGCAGAGGAACAGAAGTAAGAAGATTCATTGCCCTGTTCACTCTTAGTAAGTAAAAGTAAAGGATCTTTGTAAGCCTTGATATGGTGCTAGTCCCATATTTTTATACACAAATCAACACTTGATTAGGGATGTAGTCATTATCATTTGCTGGCTGCTTTTACTTCCAAAGACATTTCTTGGTGTCCATTTTAATATTGATCAACCTAGGAGCTCAAGTCAATAAACAAAACATTAAAAACTACATATCTATAATCGCCACAACCTTAATGTGTTGCCCTTCTTTGTTCATCTGTTCAACAGTACACACCAGGAAAGTTTGAAATCCAACGAAGAGAAAACCGATGTATCATGCGCATTGTGAACCTCGAAGCAGACGATGAGGGCGTCTATACTTGCCAGTGTGGAAATGCTGTTACCACAGCAAAAGTCATCGTGACAGGTAAATTTACAATCTTGTTTGGGATTTTCTTAAGGATTTGTATGTGTTTTAGCTGACACTGATTGCTACTTTTTTGGATGATATGTTATTTAAACATATTAGTTTGCATTTGAGATCACAGATATTTCTCCGGATGGGAGACACTGTGAAAAACAATTACTTTCTTGTGTTGTATACTTTGCCAGGGATGAACAGTGTATGCAGTCCTCATTCACATTTGAACCCACGACCTTCAGATTTGCATTTGAACATCCAGTCGCTACAGTATGGTGGCTCCTAGGAAGATGGTCTTTGATATAGAATGTGTTTTGTAGTTTAAAAAGTACACAGCCTACTCAAAGCAAGAAAGTAAAACCTTTACTTCCCAAAATCACAGTAAATATCAACGGTTTTATGTGGTGAAGTGGTTAAGCACTG